AGGTTAGGTGGAAGTTTGATTTTGTTTATCGACATATTAACACCTCTATGGGTTATTTAACGCCGAAATTTATATATTTTAGCATAATTTTAAGGTTTCAAGTAAATATATTTTGAACACAATTGTATGGTTTCAAATACAGATAAAATATATTTTGGTTATTTTACTCTAAAAGTATTGTTAGTAATTTTTTGTTACAAATATGTATTATTCGCAATTTTCTTTATATAAAAATGTATTTTCATGCTTTCATACAGCCTTTCTTGTTTGGTTTTCGCTATTTATCCATAGCTGGGACCCTAAAATACGCTACCACCGGGGTTAGAGCAGACCTGGGAACAACAGCAATTAAGAGGTCCTTCCACGCTCATCAAAAAGCTCCAATCTCCCGATCAGAAGCATTTCTGCGGGAAGGGTGAACCTGGAGACAACAGCAATTAAGAGTTCGTTCCACGCTTCTCAAAGGCTCCAATCTCCCGATCAGAAGCATTTCTGCGGGAAGGGTGGACCTGGAGACAACAGCAATTAAGTGTTCGTTCCACGCTTCTCAAAGGCTCCAATCTCCCGATCAGAAGCATTTCTGCAGGAATGGTGGACCTGGGGACAACATCAATTAAGAGTTCGTTCCACGCTTCTCAAGGGCTCCAATCTCCTGATTAGAAGCATTTCTGCGGGAAGGGTGGACCTGGGAACAACAGCAATTAAGAGGTCGTTCCACGCTCCTCAAAAAGCTCCAATCTCCTGATCTTACTTCAAGATGTAGTTTATCACTATACGCAGGACTAGGATAGATTGGTCGTCATCGGCATGGGTTAATTAGCTTAGGGCGGTCATATTTTTCTGTGTGCCGCGTCCCCTCAGGTCAAAAGTGATAATGTCTCTCCACAATTTCATATCTTCCGTGGTTCTTCACTGTTTTTGCTCCCAACCCCTTTCTGCTATCCACTGATACATGTAGGTCAGGTGAGTGGCTAACTGCCATCCCTTATCTCTCTTGACTTCAGTACGCCCCATGAGGGTTGCTTTGACAATGCCGCTCTTTCTCATTATGTGTCCCAGGAATTTAATCTGTCTTTTTCCTGATTCTGAGTCGAAGAGTCGTTATTTTCCTTATGACTTCCTTGTGCTTCTGTTGCTTCTAGATTTTTTTTCTCTCCCTTGGGGAAATAGTCCAACATTCTTTTTGGTGACAAGGGTACTCAATGGTTGTGACTTTCCGTTATGAAGGTACCGCGTTCGCAGTTCGCAAGCTGCTGCATCGAAATGGTAGTAAGAAGCCCGAACGCTTTGGCAGCTCTGATTAACACTTGCATAATATTGGGGTATTTGTAGTATCATGCCGTCTATATCCCGGCAAGTATTTTCGGTAGGTAACCCTGAGGCCACACTTTGCTCTGGGCTCAGCCATGCCCTGGCTTGTCTGCATTGCCTTTGACGACAGATAATGATATTTATATTGGCACCTATGTCATCGCTTATTTTGCTGTATACCCCACTTTTTCTGGGGGATCTCTTAGTAGACGTGATCGATTCTATAATAACAATATTACTTTCTTCTTTCTCGCTCGTCTTCTCTCGGCCGGGTCATCCCTAGTTGGTTTTTAGTTCGGAGGTAAAATGAAAACTTCAACAAAAGGGATTTAAAACTTATCTCTTTTATTAAATACGTCGACGTGTACATTTTTAACTAGCGATTGGGGTCGCTCTATCACCACAACTGGGTACAAAGTTCCCCGAGAAACGAAATAACCACATATACTGCGCATGACGTATAAAAACTTAACTCTCTGAAAACACTATCTCTCTAACATTGCCACGTTCGGCTCAGACAATCAAAATCTACATCCGTATTTTGTCTACCATCTGACCTTAAGGTCAACATCAGAAGATCTGAGCCATATACACAGCCATCAAAAACTAATAGTTCTGAAACTATTATTTAACAATTTCTCTTTCACTCATTTTGCCCCGTGAGTGTTATATTTTCCAGACCTTCCTTCCTCATTTGTGTCTAAAAAAACTTTCATGGAACACTCAGTATTTTTTGTGTAGAACTACATTTCTGCTGCCTTTAGTTTTATCTTCATCCGTGAAAGATCTTTTTTTTTTTAAGTAGTGAGTTAGTTTGGTTTCTTTATTTTATTTTGCGGCAATGGGTTATTTAATGTCGTTTTAGGATAGGTTCGTTTGAATATGTATACTTTTTAAAACATGTTTGTAGATCAGGTTTTATTGACGTTTTTTTGTAAAGTATTTTTTTTTTGACACAGTCAAATGAATTGCTTTTTTTTTTTTTTCGAAAATGTATTGCTGTTAATATATAATTTTTAAATTTATTGCAGGTATTTATACGATAAAAATCTATTTTTATATTTTCATAGTGTTTTAATCCCAGTCTTGAGGTTAACTGCGCCATTTTAACTAGAGGTATATATATATATATATATATATATATATATATATATATATATATATATATATATATTATTTCAATTACCTTCAATCATCGGCAAGGTTTATTGTTTTAAAAGCGATGATTAGAATTTCTATAGCCTTGGATGACAACTGCTCTAGCGCAGATAGAAATGGCAACCTACTGACTCGTCAGTCATATATCGAAAGATACATACTCGCCTAAGCGTGTATCACGCATGGCACATAATTGATATATATATATATATATATATATATATATATATATATATATATATATATATTTCGTCTCCAAAAATATGCCTGAGGATGAATAAAGGATTATTCGAAAATACTAGCATATAAAAAAAATATAAACTGGAAACAACCGACAACAGTTTTATAAATGAGGATCACTTCATTCTATGGATTAACAGTATTTTAATGCATACATTATATTCTACTAGCGATGGGATATCTCCAATAATAGCATTAATATTGCTGATTGATTCTATGCGTGATTATTTATTTGTATATATATATATATATATATATATATATATATATATATATATATTTTATGGTCCACGTCCTTGTACCACAATGATGGTCCAAGGTAGAACCAATAAAGAAGAACTCGAACACGGATATGGAATAATACAGATATATTACAAACAGGAATATATACAGAGAATTAGAAAGTGTTAGTATGAACAATCAGGTTTAGTAGGGAGAACAATGTAGTCTCGACCAGTATCACTATTCCAATGTCTTGCAGTAATTGTCTGAACGCGATTCTGTTTCGGACTGCCTCTGACTCGACTGACTGACTCGCTCGCTCTGACTGACAGACTCCTCACGAACTTCTGACGAGCCCGTGGGATCCCCGAGCCCGTGGGCTCGGCCAAAAATATGCCCGTTGGACCCGTATAAACGGGTTCAGGGTCGGTTTACCTCCCCGAAAGAGACTCCTCCCTTCGGCGTAGCCTCGTTCGGGTTCCTCCCAGCCCGAAGGCAGAGAGTTCAACCGATCAGCCGGTCGCCCGTCTTCAGACTGAACTCTCTGCTTCCGCTTGAGGCGCAGTATTTATTACGTATGGAATAGTCCATTATGTTATTATGGGTAAGATCCATATATATATATATATATATATATATATATATATATATATATATATATATATATATATATAATTTGTATATACGGAATGAATTCCAATAACCAACAATTACTATTCTTAAAAGAATGCTCAATACAAAGTAGAGCAGATATAGTTATTATTTAAAAAAAATTATATGTTATAAAATCACTACAAAATAGCCATAGATCTGAATAGCTATTATAACATGATTTCGTTGTCAAGCTTTTGAATCTTTCTATACTTGGGTTTTGATTGGTTATTCTAGCTTTTGTAACAATGTTTCCCCCTAGTGTAGGATCGTTAATTAATCTGAAACTTTTAAAATCATTTAGTTTATCTTCACTTGATCACTTGATAAGACACCGAGTGTGTTGAAACAAAATGGCTATTTTTGTAGTGATTTTATAACATACTTATGTTATAATTTTTTATAAATAATAATTATATATATATATATATATATATATATATATATATATATATATATATATATGTTTATTACAAATTCTAATCATCGCTTTTTGAAATAATAAACATTGCTGAGGAGTGAAGGTAATTGAAATAATAGCGGTGTCAACGAAAAGCCGTCCTTTTCATATTCCATTTTTTTGTTTTGTTGTGGTTGTTTTTGGGTTTTTTTGCCGACATGAAGATCGAAGTTTGACAAAACCATTAGGAACGTTTCCTTTTCTATAGCGAAAAATGGCTACATGTATGTTCCTCCTTATTGAAAATCGACAATCGTTTAAAAATGTTGAAAAGTAACCTTCAACGAACAATTACACAAACATGCTTAATCATTGTTGTTTATGTGATGATGTATGAGAATATGTGAGTGAACAAGAGAGAAGACAAACAAATTTAAATTAGTTATTTTTCTCATGCCTTTCAGAATAACAAACGGGCTCCATGCAGACTGAGGACCGTAGTTTGGGTATTACTGGTTCAGATTAATGGGATTATAGACCTTGAGAATCTGAATGTTTCATAAAACCAAAAAAAAATGTATATAAATTCACCTATTTAAAACCGTCATCTTTCGCTTTCTTGTTTCCCGAAAATGTGTACCGTGATCGTATAATTAATTGGCTACCATAGAGTTCAAAAGAGAAGGAACATAAGTGTCTAAGTTCTTCGGAGGGGCAACTCGAAGGAGCATAACATTAACGTCAGCAAAATAGCAAGAAGTAGTGCCATAGACAATTACTGGGAGGTCATTGCAAAACAAAGGGGAGTTGAGACATTTTTGCATTTTGCGAAGGCACTTGGCAAACCTCAAAAGCATTTTGCCCTTTTGATGTCGAAGCAGAAATCGCTGAGGCGTTGTTACTTTGTCTTACTTCTTTGTCATTTGTTTCTGAGAATTCTGCGTGAAACAGGGCAAAAGAATGAGAGAGGAAGAGAAGCATAAGAAAGGCCTTAAAATTATTTTGCACATATGTATATCTATAGACGCTCAATTTTGTATAAATAGTTAAGGGCTGTGATAGATAGATAGATAGATAGATAGATAGATAGATAGATAGGATGACAGAAGGAAGTAAAATATAGACAGGAAGGAAGGAAGGAAGGAAGGAAGGAAGGAAGGAAGGAGCAATAAGGGAAAAGAAAAAAAGAAGGAAGGATCGGAATCAGGAAATAGATAGATAGATAGATAGATAGATAGATAGATAGATAGATAGGATGACAGAAGGAAGTAAAATGTAGACAGGAAGGACGAGAAAAGGAACGAAAGATGGTAAGGAAGGAAGAAATGAAGGAAAAAGCACTAAGAGAAAAGAAAAAGAAGGGTCGGAATCAGGAAATAGATAGATAGATAGATAGATAGATAGGATGACAGAAGGAAGTAAAAGTTATACAGGAAAGACGAGAAAACATTGAGTGGATAGATGGATGGATGGATGGATGGATGGATGGATGGATCATAAGAGAAGTGAAAAAGGAAGGATCGAAATCGAGAAAGAGGAATAAAAGGAAGAGAGAGAGGGGGGAATGAAGGTAGACAGGAAAGAAGGATAGCAGGAAAAGAGAGAGAGAGAGAGAGAAAAGGAAGGAAGTATCGGAAACTGGAAAGAATTATTTCTCTACAATATTATTTTCCTGATTCAATTCTCTCTTTGATTCCTTCCTTTTTAACTTTTATTATTCCGTGAAAGAGGAAGGAATCATTGAAGAGAATCAGGAAACACTCCATTTTAGATGAATAATTAATGGTTGACATAGATAGATAGATAGATAGATAGATAGATAGATAGATAGATATGAATAAAGTAAGATAGATAGATAGATAGATAGATAGATAGATAGATATGAATAAAGTGAGATAGATATGAATAAAGTGAGATAGATAGATAGATAGATAGATAGATAGATAGATAATGATCGGACCAGGATAGATAGATAGATAGATAGATAGATAGATAGATAGAATAACAGGATAGGAAAGAAGAAAATGAAACAATAAGGAGAGAAAGGAAGCAGAATGATCAGGAAATAAGAATAAAGTAAAAGAGAGAGAGGGAGAGAGAGAGGAAGGAAGGAAGGAAGGAAGGAAGGAAGGAAGGAAGGAAGGAAGGAAGATGACTCAAGAATGAGCGATAACAGAAGAGAAAGAGGAAGGAAGAATCAGAATCAGGAAAGAAGAATAAAAGGAAGAGAGAGAGAGGAATGAAGGTAGACAGGAAAGAAGGAAAATAGGGAAAGAGCGATAGAGAGAGAGGTAGAGAGAGACAAAGGAAGGAAGGAAGGAAAGAAGGAAGGAAGGAAGGAAGGAAGGAAGGAAGGAAGCAATCAAGGAATGAAGTTGTGGAGAGGAATGAAAAAGATGGAAAGAAAAGAGAGAAAGTGAGACGAATGAATGAAGGACAAGAATTATAGGAAAAAAAGATGGAAGTAAAAGAGAGAAAGCGAGAAGGGGAGAGAGAGAAAGAAAAAGAGATAGATAGAAAAATAGAGTGAGAGAGAGAGAGAGAAAACGAGAGAGAGAAAAAGCGAGCGAGAGAGAAAGAGTGAGAAAGAAAAAGAGAGAGATAGAAATGAATGTAGTTAGGTTGAAATGACGGCGAAAAAAACAATGGTGGATTACAAATTGAGACATTGGAAAGTATATGAACTGTATACACACACGCGTACACATGGTGGAACACATTAATAAATATGGCGACACACATTCACACACATATGAACACACAAATACACGACTATATAGGCATATTTACATATATAAACAAAACACTTGAACAAACTCGCATATATACACAGTCCCAGCCATATAAGCATATGTTGGTAAAAGCTGATACATGTCACGCATTTTAAATAGCTTACAAGAATTTTAAAATGCCGTCATCTGCAATAAACAAAATGGTGTTTCAATAACTTGGACCGATTTTAAATGTGAATTAAGTTTAAGCGTCTAATGATTTTTTCTTTTTCTTTCACATTTAACAAGTTAAGTCTTTGGCAATTTCAACCATGGAAAGATTAAAAATCAAACAACGTTCCCAGGTCGCATCATCTCTCGAAACAGCGAAGTCTTTTGAACAATCACGACGTGCGACTTGTCGCCTTTAGATTTCTCCTTTTGGGGTCATCTCAAAAGTAAGGTCTATGCCAACAAGCCAACAACAATTCAACAGCTGAAGGAGGAGATAATAAGACATATTAGTGAAATCGAGGAGCAACTATGCAGAGAAGTTATCAAAATTTTTGACCATCGAGTGTAGGTGTGCCGCCGAAGCCTTAGCGGACATTTGAGTGATATTAATTTTCACACATAATTGGCATGAATTACATAACTTGATCCAATAGAGAATAGTCCAAATAATTTAAATAGTATCAAATACCGTGTTGCTAGATTATCGAAGCTTTATTTGATACTATTTACATTACGAAAATGGACGTTCAGACAGAAATGCAATGAGAAGTTCCCAGATCGCATCATCTCTCGAAACAGCGAAGTCAATTTGACAATCACGATCGTGCGACTTGACGCCTTTAGATTTCTTCCTTTGGGGTCATATCAAAAGTAAGGTCTATGCCAACAAGCCAACAACAATTCAACAACTGCCACTATGCAGAGATGTCATCAAAAATTTTGACCATCGAGTGGAGGTGTGCCCCCAAAGCCTTTGCGGACATTTGGGTGATATTATTTTTCACACATAACTGCCATGATTTAAATAACATGATCCAATAGAGAAATAAATAAATTTTCACCAATAACACTGATTTATTTACTACTGATTTTGATCCATCTTAATGAAACACCCTTTTATATATTCCGTCTTAAGGAAACACCCTTATATATAATCCGTCTAAATGAAATACCCTTTATATATTTATATTTAATGTGGGTTTCTTTATTTTTTACTAATGGCAGGATTAAGTATTTTGACTCACTCTTTACAGGGCGATTTCTGAATAGTAGTTTGGTATTAATCACTTATTTCTTTCTTTTTTGTGCCGTGTACCTTCAGGACGTAAGCGATCATAGCTATCCACTTTTCCCTGTCCCTTGTAGTTCTTAATATGTTCCGTCCCTATGCAACTTCCGCAAGACTACGTTCTGTCAACCACTTTCTTAAGCCTGCCAGGTATATCATGCGTTGCTTTCCTTTGTCTCTATTTCCCTCTATTCAACCTGTGAGTATCACATTCTCCAGGCCCTCCTTTCTCGTTACGTGTCCCAGAAAGTTCAGCTGCCTCTTCCTGGTGTTAAGCATGAGCTTTCTCCTTGTTTGCATCCTCTCCAAGACTTCATCGTTGCTCACACGCTCGGTGCATGATATCCTCAATATTTAGCAGTTCTGTTTTGTTTGTGATGTGATGATTAATGTGCGCACGAATTGGCGTGAGATAATTATTGATGACTATTAGGTTGGATGCATTTTTTAGAGGAAGCATGGACTGATGAAAGGAATGTTTATTTATAAGCACTTCCCCCCAAGCAAGTCGGGAATGCCACTAGTGCGCAGAGGGGTTACAGGGAGTGAAAGTAAAAGAAAAAACTGAGATTGGAGAGAATTGCAGAAATGACGAAAGATGAACGGGATTCAAGAAGGTAGAATATGTTTTGAAGATTGTAGTTATCAGGGATACAAGTAAATGAAAGGGGTTTCCACGGGCGTAAAATACGAGAAAAGAAACTGCTGGCGTAAAGTGGCGGTTGCATTTAGCTATTTCAACAGTAAAAAGGTGGGACCTAAATGCCAATCTAGTAGCACGCTTTAATTCATGTAGCCGAGACGCTAATTGAAAAAAAAAATCTCATCAGAGCAGTTGTCATGAAAATATTTGTAGAAAAGACAGAGGGAAGCCACGTCACTAGGCTGACAAAATGACTGAAGTCGAGATGCCTGGTCATGATCGATTAAATTACAGATCCTTCTTTGGATTTTGTCAAGAACCTCGAAATGAATAGCAAGAACACCGGACCCGATATGGCAACAATATTCAATGCACAGAAGAATAGTAGATTTGTAAATGTGCATGATTGATTCTAACGAGAAAAAATCTTTTGGCACGACACAGTGAACCAACTTTTCTTGCAGTAGATGCAGTGAAATATATTTGTAGAAAAGTCTGAAGTAAGCCACGTCACGTTGCTGAGAACGTGACTGAAGCCGAGATGCCAGGTCAGGATCGATAACATTACAGATCCTTCTTTGAATTCTGTCAAGAATCTCGAGATATATAGTAGGAGAACCAGACCAGATATGGTAACATTATTCAATACATGGTCGAAGGGTAGATTTATAAATGTGCAAATGAAATCTGACGAGAAAGATCTTTTGGCACGACACAGTGAACCAACTTTCCTTGCAGTAGATGCAGTTATTGATTCGATGTAGTCGCTCCACTTCAAGCAAGGGGGAAATGTGAGGCCAAAGAGGCCTAGAGGTTTGCTCTCTTGGTTGAAGAGAGAATTATTTTATTTATTTTTTTTATTTGCATGAAGATTATGTGGAGATACCAAAGAGATAATCTCATCAGAAGAATTACTCGAGGTCATGAAGCATATTTTGTTGCTCTCCTGATTGTAGGGAAAAATATTTCTGTATGTTGGTTGAATGAAAGCTGTTTATATTTTGGAGGCGTTAAAATTTACAAGCCATTTCTTGCCACGATTGATCACTGATTGGAGATCCTTTTTTAGAGCAGCTGTCATGATTCACCCCAAGTAAGGCGAAAAGACGCATAGTGTTACCTGGAGTGAAAGACAATGAGATGTTTGTGAGTTAAAAGAACAATAAAAGATCTGTCGGATTTGCTATTGCGACAGAAGTAAATGGTAGTGCTATCTGCAGAAACGGGCACTAAGGACATTGGTGATATCCTTGATGAAGATCAGAAATAGTGTCAAAAAGAAGAAGGAAAAGGAAGAAGTAAGGAGACTCATTTAAATGCAACGCTAATCGATACCTTTTGTCTTCCTGGATACCCGTTCTTTTATTGTTCTTTTTCCTCACTAACATCTTCACATTGTCTTTCACTCGAGGTAACACTTTGCGTCTTATCGCCTTACATAGGATGAAATGTAATACTTGATTAAACAAGTCGCATTAAATGGAATATCTTTAACCACAGAAGATGGCATTTTGAAGTTTGTATAAAATATAAAAAGCGTACTGAAATTAGTTAAAATTAGTTACAATCTAACTTCGTTTTTTTTTTAATTTGTTGCTTAAACGTTAGTTTTAATGGCTATCTACATTTGTGTAGATTGTATAGCTATCTATCTATCTATCTGCAAGAAACCTGATTCAGTGCCTTGCTTTTTTTATTATAAAGAACTGCATACTGATTTTATTGTCTTGCCACCCCGTGTATATATATATATATATATATATATATATATATATATATATATATATATATATATATTTCTTTCTTTTCTATTTAAATATTTCCATTATCTATCTATCTATCTCCATTATCTATCTATCTGCAAGAAACCTGATTCAGTGCCTTGAATATATATATATATATATATCAGTATTTCTTTCTGATATAATAGAGTATGCGTACACCTGTGTTCCCCCTCACTGGAATATGATTGGCTGGTGTCCGTCATAAATACCGACGGACGTGTAGCAGAGTCAGAAGAGCCTTAGTCTGAGAGCTAAGTCTATAACGACGCCCATTGGACTACGCCATTGATCTATAGTTCTTACCTGCGACTACGACGCGTACCAGTCGATTACTGCTACCGTATTCTACTTGGTTATAGTAGCCAAAACCACTTAGCTACTTCGTTCAAATATATCCCTTTCTGGGATATATCACTTTCTCTCTTTCTGTTTAAGTATTGTCATTATCTATCTATCTATCTATCTATCTATCTATCTATCTATCTATCTATCTATCTATCTATCGCTCCCTGAGTGCGTTGCGTGTCTATGTGAACGATCATCTATATTTATGCATGTCGGTTGTCTATAATTATATGAAGAATTGAATCACAATAAATTTCTAGGATTTATTCATATTCTCCAATAGATTTACGTATAAATTCATGTTGTATCTCCTTCCATGTTTGCACGCATGTGTCGGGGACGAAAACAATGTTAACAGGCATGGATTTCGAGGGTTTCAAATCAGAGATGTGCTTCTTCTTAAATAGGGAAGCTGAACGATCAAAATGCACGCCTGGCTTTATCAAGTCTGTTGAATGCACATCACGATTGGCGTAAATTTGCACTGATTAGACATCCGGGGTTTTTACACAAAAATATATATCCACAAATATAACCTTCAGAGAAATTATAATACTACTATTATTATTACCACTATACGGTATCCTCCGGTCTCGAGAAACAATCGATCTGTATTATGCCCTCTCCAGGGTGCAGGCTTGGGCAAGGTATTCATTATATATGAGAGATCGACAGTGGCCCATGCAGTACATCACCCCTTCCAACGCCACCGATGTTGCCCAAGAGAAAAGCCGATACCAAGAGGGCTAATTACCGGCGTCATCTCAGGAGTTGCTACAACGAAATTGCACATGACATCCGGCTGTCTGACTACTACATACATACATATATATATATATATATATATATATATATATATATATATATATTCCTCATATACGGAATCCCTCATATTTGGAGTGCTTCATATCCGGAATCCCGCATATCCGGACGTGATTTTGATGTGTATATTTGAACTATTTGGGTGATATGTAACTGATTTGAAATTTCTATTTTTTCAGGAAATTTAGTTTGGATAATTGCTTATGCTTATTTCACCCTAATGGCTTGTATTGGTGCAAAAGATGATGGGAATAAGAGGAAAAGAACAACTTTTGAGTTATCGCAAAAAATTTTAAACAGACTAGAACAGCATATATATATATATATATATATATATATATATATATATATATATATATATCCGATGAGAACGAAAGTAATATATAAATTCCAACGTTCACGGCTTTAATCCAAAAGAGGGCTCCATACCGATAGTTGAGTGATAATTATTTATTTATTTATTATAATTTTATCATATAGACAAAACCATTTCACTCACTACAAAGATCCAACTTCGTTTCAGTGCATTTCAAGCAGGATTGTATATATATATATATATATATATATATACCAACCTATCTATGTTGGTCTGACCAATAGTCAACTTCCCACAAGTCCTAAAAATTTAAACAAGAAGAAATCCCGAACAATGAAAGAAAAATGAAAGGAAATGAAATAGAACAGACAAAAAAAACCAGAGTGACACATGATCTAATGTATGCGTTAAAGCATGAAACAGACTTTTGACAGCAGTGTTTACCCTTATATTTACATACGCACTATCCTTGATATTGAACACATTTACCCATAACTACCGCTTACCACAAAACTATAGTTTGATCACACACACATACACACACACGCGCAGTCACACACACACAGACACACACACACATAGATAGATAGATAGATAGATAGATAGATAGATAGATAGATAGATAGATAGATATAAAAAGTTGAGTTATTACGTTGTTGGAAAATGTGCTCGATGACTGATTACTTTTAAAAAATATACATAAAAATAAGTTTTATGATGTTGTGTATAATTAATTTTTTTTACTGTTTCCCGTCGTCTGCAAAATGAATAGACTCATAAAAATTGTAATTTCAAATGTACAACTATTTTCAAAGAAGTCTTAAAACCAAATCAAGGAACATGTGTTTTCGAGTTAAAAATGGTATTTGCTTTCATGCGTTCCACTTCCTTACTTTTGAAAGTTGAACTATATCTCTGTCACCTTAACGTGTTTTTGTTTATTTGTTTTGAGATATTTAGTTCTAATAGATAGATAGATAGATAGATAGATATTGAACAGTCTCAAACAGACACACATAGATAGATAGGTAGATAGATAGATAATAAACATAGACAGATATATAGATAGATAAATAGATAGATAATGAACAGTCTCAAACAGATAGATAGATAGATAGATAGATAGATAGATAATAAACATAGATATAGATAGATAGATAGATAGATATTGAACAGTCTCAAACAGATAGACAAATAGATAATGAATAATTTGTCTCAAACAGACAAAAGATAGATATAGATAATGAACAGTATGATAGAAATAGATAAGAGTCTCAAACAGAGATAGATAGATAGATAGATAGATAGATAGATAGATAGATATTGAACAGTCTCAAACAAAAATCTTAGATAATGTAGATGATAATCATAGACAGTTCTATGGTAAAACAGTCTCAAACCAAAAAGATAGATTTTTGATAATTTCACAAAAAGAATTTATGTTGTTCTATTAAAACAAAACCAAAAGTTTTTTGTAATTTAACAAATTTTGTGGCTCTTACCTGTACATTTTGTAACATTTTGTAAAATTATTATAAATAACATATGTTCGGACTCTTGTCAAGGTATATTGTTACGATTTTGTTTTAGAAATACAAGCTTCGCGTCAAATACCCGGGTTATGTCTCTCCCTTACTGGGTAGTCAGTGCGTGCGGGGTAGAGCAAAATATGGAACGAATTAGAAAATACAAAGCATACAAGAATGGTTGCTGTATTCGCGTCTCGCATATTTTGTTCGTTGGCAGAAAGAGAATTTGGAATTTTTTGTACGTATATCAAAAGACGGTGTTACTTTGCCATTTTGAGATGGTTGGGCTTACGGCTCTTTCCGTCTAATTCAGGAATATTTTTAGCGGATTTTGCGTGTGTGTGTGTGTATGTGTGTGTGACATCGTTCTAAACTGCGTGCAGCCTGCTTACTATTTGTCTTTCATATATGATCTGCTAGAAGATATTTCGTTGTTACCAGCATCTTCAATATATTCTTGATATTCTGCAATACGCTGCAACGGCATTTTTTTTTACATCTCAGAAAACAATGACCAACATCTTCAGTAATCTTCTGTTACTTCCTTTAAGTTCCTGACAAAACCTTGGGGTTAGATTTTATATTCACAGCACGGAATTATTGTAAATAACTCTTGTTCGGATTGTCATTAGTTTAAATTACTAGGATTCCGTTTTATATAGCCAAGAAACTATACTGGTTGCGAACTAAGGCTATAGGACTAAGTATGCTCTGGTATTTAACCCATAGCTGGGAGGAGAATATAATGGATTCATAGTTTTTTTTTCATTGCGGGTATAAGAACGAAATGAGTGCAGTGATCTGAAAATTAGAGCCTTATATCAATGACAAACCAACCGATTTTCAACTGTCCGTAAGTCGACGAAACATATAAGCAACGCGAAAATTCTATGGATAATTGTTATGGGACCTTACCCATAATAACATAATGGACTATTCCTTACGTAATAAATACTGCGCCTCAAGAGGAAGCAGAGAGTTCAGTCCGAAGTCGGACGACCGGCTGATCGATTGATCGGTTGAACTCTCTGCCTTCGGGCGGAGAGGAACCCGAACGAGGCTACGCCGAAGGGTGGAATCTCTTTCGGGGAGGTAAACCGACCCTGAAGCCGTTTATACGGGTTCAAAGGGCATGTTTTTGGCCGAGCCCACGGGCTCGCAGTTCCCACGTTAAACCGGCCTTGTGCCACATGATGCCCTCGTTGACTAAATACCGTTCAGTCCGAAGTCTGGAGTGAAGTCCGTCAGGAGTCTGTCAGTCAGTCAGAGCGAGCGAGTCAGTCAGTCGAGTCAGAGGCAGTCCGAAACAGAGTCGCGTTCAGACGATTACTGCAAGACATTGGAATAGTGATACTGGTCGAGACTACATTGTTCTCCCTAGTAAACCTGATTGTTCGTACTAACACTTTCTACCTCTCTGTATATATTCCTGTTTGTAATATATCTGTGTTATTCGATATCCGTGTTCGAATTCTTCTGTATTGGTTCTACCTTGGACCAAGGAACCGGACCATAACAATAATGGAATAAAAATTTAGTCGGAATCAGAAAAAGACAGCAGAATCATTTTGGACACGTAATGTGGAAAGTGGGATTGAAGAATTTGACATCCACAGAATATATCGAAGGCAAGAGGGAGATGGAGAGTCATAACATGCCTGCGTGAAGTGATGTCAAAACGAAGGAGACGGGCGGGATAATAAAAAACTCAAACATTACCACGAGCTATAAATCAGAGGAAGTTGTGTAGAGCCATGATCACCTTTCATGCCTCGTATAAAAAGTACTCAGAATCAGATGCCGGCAGCTGAAATTTCTTAGTCATATAATGAGGAAAGAGTACTTGGAAAAAGTAAACCTCACAAGGCATATCGAGAGGAAGAATAATAGGGGAAGGTTGCCGGTAGCCTGACGATTTATTGAAAATGGAGGACAAAACAAGGAGTGAAAGACGTGACCAACCGAGAAACTGATGACAGTCACAAGTGATAGGAAGTTGTGGACGGCCATCATCACCCCCGGGACTCGGCACGTGGCTTACTTAAAAGATTTCATGGCTAACTACGATAAACACGTTTTCTTGAATATTAGCTGCAAAAATGGGGATTTTATAAGCGTAGCTTAGATGTGGAACAGGGCCAAAATCGTGAGGCACCCAGTGAGGATCGAACTCTCAACTGAGTCGCAGTTGATCTAGCGAGGAAAGCTTGTTAACCATTACTTTACATGGAAGTAGCCAAGTCGATTATCGAAGCTTAGATCAGATGTAGCACAAGCCCGAAAGTATTGGGTACTCAGTGAAGATCGAACTCCCAATTGAGACGCAGTTGATCTGGCGAGGCAAGCTTGTTAACCATTACTCTACATGGAAGTAGCCAAGTCGATTTTCGAAGCTTAACTTAGATGTGGCACAAGGCCGAAAGTATGAGGCACCCAGTGAGGACAGAACTCACTACTCAGGTGTAATAGTTCTAGCAACACAACCGCGCTATCCATTACAGCACGTCGGCGTACCCCAAGAGAATACATATATTATATAGTATGACTGTCATATTGACTTCCTGATATTCTCAGAATCCTTCTGTAGAAAATTTTTTTCTTTTAGTTTCTTCTTCGTCTGTGAGGAGATTGTCCAGGTTTCATTGCCATATAGGAGGACTGATACCACGTAGTAGTACAGTACTCTTTTTTGTTACTAACGAGATTTTCCTGTTGCTTAATTTTTTGCTTAACTTTTGGAAGGCATCTTTCGTTATCCCAAGGCGCCTTCGGATTTCAGAGTCCCACATTCCATCCTCTGTTAAAACACTTCCCAAATATTTAAATTGTTGTACTTGCTTCATTTTGGTATTCTTTTCATCGAGTTCACCCGCAAACAAGGCAATAAAGTCACTAAGATAAAAGAAGTTACGGGGTGTAGAAAAGTTAGAAACAGAAACATTATTTGGGAGCGAGAACAAAAGGAGGGTAATGGGGAGGACAGTACAGAGCGAACACATCGCATGTAAATTTTTGACGTTTACAGTTGGCTGGAAAGCATGGATCCTTAGCATTTTGACGTTTACAGTTGGCTGGAAATCATGGATCCTTAGAATTTTGACGTTTACGGTTGGCTGGAAAGCATGGATGCTTAGAATTTTGATGTTTACATTTGACAGGAAAACATGGATCCTTATAATTTTCACGTTTACAGTTAGCTGAAAAGCATGGATACTTAACATTTTGACGTTTACAATTGGCTGGAAAGCATGGATCCTTAGAATTTTGATGTTTACATTTGACAGGAAAACATGGATCCTTATAATTTTCACGTTTGCAGTTAGCTGAAAAGCATGGATCCTTAGCATTTTGACGTTTACAGTTGGCTGGAAAGCACGGATCCTTAGAATTTTGACGTTTACAGTTGGATGGAAAGCATGGATGCTTAGAATTTTGATGTTTACATTTGACAGGAAAACGTGGATCCTTATAATTTTCACGTTTACAGTTAGCTGAAAAGCATGGATCCTTATAATTTTGACGTTTACAGTTGGCTGGAAAGCATGGATCCTTAGAATTTTGACGTTTACATTTGACTGGAAAACATGGATCCTTAGAATCTCGACGTTTACAGTTGGTTGAAAAGAATCCTTCGACGTTTACAGTTGGTTGAAAAGCATCGGTCCTTAGCATTTTGTCGTTTACGGTTGAAAGGAAAGCATTTTGTCGATCCTTAGAATTTTGACGTTTACCGTTTGCTGGAAATCATGGATCCTTAGCATTTTGACGTTTACATTTGACAGGAAAACATGGATCCTTAGAATTTTGATGTTTACATTTGACTGGAAAACATGGATCCTTAGAATTTCGACGTTTACAGTTGGCTGGAAAGCATGGATCCTTAGAATTTTGATGTTGACATTTGGTTTAAAAGCATCGGTCCTTAGAATTTTGATGTTTACATTTGACAGGAAAATATGGATCCTTATAATTTTCACGTTTACATTTAGCTGAAAAGCATGGATCCTTAGCATTTTGACGTTTACAGTTGGCTAGAAAGCATGGATCCTTAGAATTTTGACGTTTTCAGTTGGCTGGAAGGCATGGATGCTTAGAATTTTGATGTTTACATTTGACAGGAAAACATGGATCCTCATAATATTCCCGTTTACAGTTAGCTGAAAAGCATGGATCCTTAGCATTTTGACGTTTACAGTTAGCTGGAAAGCATGGATCCTTAGAATTTTGATGTTTACATTTGACTGGAAAACATGGATCCTTAGAATTTCGACGTTTCCAGCTGGTTGAAAAGCATGGTCCTTAGAATTTTGACGTTTACGGTTGGCTGGAAAGCATGGATCCTTAGAATTTTGACGTTTACCGTTTGCTGGAAAGCATGGATCCTTAGCATTTTGACGTTTACATTTGACAGGAAAACAGATATCCTTAGAATTTTGATGTTTACATTTGGTTTAAAAGCATCGGTCCTTAGAATTTTGATGTTTACATTTGACAGGAAAACATGGATCCTTATAATTTTCACGTTTACAGTTAGCTGAAAAGCATGGGTCCTTAGCATTTTGACGTTTACAGTTGGCTGGAAAGCATGGATCCTTAGAATTTTGACGTTTACAGTTGGCTGGAAAGCATGGATGCTTAGAATTTTGATGTTTACATTTGACAGGAAAACATGGATCCTTATAATTTTCACGTTTGCAGTTAGCTGAAAAGCATGGATCCTTAGCATTTTGACGTTTACAGTTGGCTGGAAAGCATGGATCCTTAGAATTTTGACGTTTTCAGTTGGCTGGAAAGCATGGATGCTTAGAATTTTGATGTTTACATTTGACAATAAAACATGGATCCTTATAATTTTCACGTTTGCAGTTAGCTGAAAAGCATGGATCCTTAGCATTTTGACGTTTACAGTTGGCTGGAAAGCATGGATCCTTAGAATTTTGATGTTTACATTTGACTGGAAAACATGGATCCTTAGAATTTCGACGTTTACAGTTGGTTGAAAAGCATCGGTCCTTAGCATTTTGACGTTTACGGTTGGCTGGAAAGCATGGATCCTTAGAATTTTGACGTTTACGGTTGGCTGGAAAGCATGGATGCTTAGAATTTTGATGTTTACATTTGACAGGAAAACATGGATCCTTATAATTTTCACGTTTACAGTTAGCTGAAAAGCATGGATCCTTAGCATTTTGACGTTTACAATTGGCTGGAAAGCATGGATCCTTAGAATTTTGATGTTTACATTTGACAGGAAAACATGGATCCTTATAATTTTCACGTTTGCAGTTAGCTGAAAAGCATGGATCCTTAGCATTTTGACGTTTACGGTTGGCTGGAAAGCACGGATCCTTAGAATTTTGACGTTTACAGTTGGATGGAAAGCATGGATGCTTAGAATTTTGATGTTTACATTTGACAGGAAAACATGGATCCTTATAATTTTCACGTTTACAGTTAGCTGAAAAGCATGGATCCTTAGCATTTTGACGTTTACAGTTGGCTGGAAAGCATGGATCCTTAGAATTTTGACGTTTACATTTGACTGGAAAACATGGATCCTTAGAATCTTGACGTTTACAGTTGGTTGAAAAGCATGGATCCTTAGCATTTTGACGTTTACATTTGGCTGGAAAGCATCGATCCTTAGAATTTTGATGTTTACATTTGACTGGAAAACATGGATCCTTAGAATTTCGACGTTTACAGTTGGTTGAAAAGCATCGGTCCTTAGCATTTTGTCGTTTACGGTTGGCTGGAAAGCATGGATCCTTAGAATTTTGACGTTTACTGTTTGCTGGAAATCATGGATCCTTAGCATTTTGACGTTTACATTTGGCTGGAAAGCACGGATCCTTAGAATTTTGATGTTTACATTTGACTGGAAAACATTTATCCTTAGAATTTCGACGTTTACAGTTGGTTGAAAAGCATCGGTCCTTAGCATTTTGTCGTTTACGGTTGGCTGGAAAGCATGGATCCTTAGAATTTTGACGTTTACCGTTTGCTGGAAATCATGGATCATTAGCATTTTGACGTTTACATTTGACAGGAAAACATGGATCCTTAGAATTTTGACGTTTACATTTGACAGGAAAACATGGATCCTTAGAATTTTGATGTTTACATTTGACTGGAAAACATGGATCCTTAGAATTTCGACGTTTACAGTTGGCTGGAAAGCATGGATCCTTAGAATTTTGATGTTTACATTTGACTGGAAAACATGGATCCTTAGAATTTTGACGTTTACATTTGGTTTAAAAGCATCGGTCCTTAGAATTTTGATGTTTACATTTGGCAGGAAAATATGGATCCTCATAATATTCCCGTTTACAGTTAGCTGAAAAGCATGGATCCTTAGCATTATGACGTTTACATTTGGCTGGAAAGCATGGATCCTTAGAATTTTGATGTTTACATTTAACTGGAAAACATGGATCTTTAGAATTTTGACGTTTACAGCTGGTTGAAAAGCATGGTCCTTAGCATTTTGACGTTTACGGTTGGCTGGAAAGCATGGATCCTTAGAATTTTGACGTTTACCGTTTGCTGGAAAGAATGGATCCTTAGCATTTTGACGTTTACATTTGACAGGAAAACATGGATCCTTAGAATTTTGACGTTTACATTTGACAGGAAAACAGAGATCCTTAGAATTTTGATATTTACATTTGACTGGAAAACATGGATCCTTAGAATTTTGACGTTTACATTTGGTTGAAAAGCATCGGTCCTTAGCATTTTGACGTTTACGGTTGGCTGGAAAGCATGGATCCTTAGAATTTTGACGTTTACGGTTTGGCTGGAAAGCATGGATCCTTAGAATTTTGATGTTTACATTTGACAGGAAAACATGGATCCTTATAATTTTCACGTTTACAGTTAGCTGAAAAACAGAGGTCCTTAGAATTTTGACGTTTACAGTTGGCTAGAAAGCATGGATCCTTAGAATTTTGACGTTTACAGTTGGTTGGAAAGCATGGATCCTTAGAATTTTGATGTTTACATTTGACAGGAAAACATGGATCCTTATAATTTTCACGTTTGCAGTTAGCTGGAAAAGCATGGATCCTTAGCATTTTGACGTTTACAATTGGCTGGAAAGCATGGATCTTTAGAATTTTGACGTTTTCAGTTGGCTGGAAAGCATGGATGCTTAGAATTTTGATGTTTACATTTGACAATAAAACATGGATCCTTATAATTTTCACGTTTGCAGTTAGCTGAAAAGCATGGATCCTTAGCATTTTGACGTTTACAGTTGGCTGGAAAGCCCGGATCCTTAGAATTTTGACGTTTACAATTGGCTGGAAAGCATGGATGCTTAGAATTTTGATGTTTACATTTGACAGGAAAAACATGGATCCTTATAATTTTCACGTTTACAGTTAGCTGAAAAGCATGGATCCTTAGAATTTTGACGTTTACAGTTGGCTGAAAAGCATGGATCCTTAGAATTTTGACGTTTACCTTTTTAGAATTTTGATGTTTACATTTGACTGGAAAACTTGGATCCTTAGAATTTCGACGTTTACAGTTAGTTGAAAAGCATGGATCCTTAGCATTTTGACGTTTACAGTTGGCTGAAAAGCATGGATCCTTAGAATTTTGACGTTTACCGTTTGGATCCTTGGACAGTTGGTTGAAAAGCATGGATCCGTTTACGGTAGCATTTGGACGTTTACCGTTTGCTGGAAAGCATGGATCTTAGCATTTTGACAGGAAAACATGGATCCTTAAAATTTTGATGTTTACATTTGACTGGAAAACATGGATCCTTAGAATTTCGACGTTTACAGTTGGCTGGAAAGCATGGATCCTTAGAATTTTGATGTTTACATTTGACTGGAAAACATGGATCCTTAGAATTTTGACGTTTACATTTGGTTTAAAAGCATCGGTCCTGAGCATTTTGACGTTTACCGTTAGCTGGAAAGCATGGATCCTTAGGATTTTGACGTTTTCAGTTGGCTGGAAAGCATGGATTTTAGAATTTTGACGTTTACAGTTGGCTGGAAAGCATGGATGCTTAGAATTTTGACGTTTACAGTTGGATGAAAAGCATGGATCCTTATAATTTTACGTTTTGTAAGCATGTAACCGGAAGGGAGTTTCACCAGCGAGAAGTGCGAGAAAAGAAACAGTAAATTGACGATATCTCGACGCTAGTCTTGTACTGCGCTTAAATTCAAAAAGCCTAGGAACCATAATGATGAGGTCGTCTGAACAATTACCATGAAAGTATTTCTAGAAAGGTTACAGCGAGGTAACATTACGACCACGGTGAAATCACTGAAGCCTAGCCTCCAGATCAGGGCCAATAATATAGCTGATTCTTCTTTGGATTTTATCAAGGAGATTTAGATATATAGAAGCGGCGCCAGAACATATGTATCTTTAGTTTACCATTAAGGCGTGCTACTCTTAAATATTCATGTAAGCCTAATTATTGACCTGAGACTCCAGGAAAAGATTGTCACTAAATTTTGGAAGTATTCCTTCATCCTCCTTACTCTCCTGCCCTTGCTCCATCTGGCTATCATCTTTTCAGATCATCTTTTTTTTCCTTTTAGACGGAAGCAGTTTATTAATTGAGAAAAGTTGTAAATTGCTGTTGGGTGTTTCTTTATATCGAAAGCTGATATCGAAATATTATGGCGAAATATTGATTAAAACTATCAACTGAAACCTAAAAAATCTTAACTGATTAACAATATATTTCCAAATGGAACAGGACTTACTGAAACCTAATATAATGTTAATAACCCTACTTATATTCGGATATACCATTGTCCTCATTCTTGTTTTTATTATCAAAACGTTTCGACCGTTATGGTCCTCTGGCATTCATCGGGCGGATATCGATTTGGGTAACCTACAAGGAATTCTGAACTGAACATAATTTCATCTACGGGGGTAGAGCATTCCATGTCTAGGGATATCGTCTGGTTCTTATTTTTAGTACTGATAAGTTTCCACTGAGTCCAAGAACACACTACCGGGCACAGTGATTGAACTCACATTTACTCTGACACGAAATTCACTAACCAACGCTTTCACCACTTGGCTATTGTCCCGTAGGACCTAGATTGATATATACCTGATGAAGGACGTAGGGGAAAACGACCGTAACGTCGTGAAAACCAACCAAAAATATGAGGACAATAGCCCGAATATAAATACTTTAAAAAATGCTGACTCATCCCAGAAATTCAGGGAAAAAGTGATGAAATATGTTTGAGGCAGTGCATGTTGGAGTGGGTGTGCGCCACCATATACAGCGTGTAACAGCAAAATTGTCCAAATATTGTGAACCGTTGCATCTTAGAAATGATTAAAGATATCTTACTGGAATTCTCCGATGTTTTTATAATACTATTATCAACTGAGATGGACCTTTTCTTATTGGTCACTTTAACTCTAAGTTGTAAATACGATCCCTCTTCCTATTATGACCTCTTCATCCAGTTATCCTCTAAAAATCTTTTAAAATCTTATTCACCGTTCACTTGATGGTTTTTGAATGGTCATTGAAGATGGAAGCCAGTGTATGAATGTTGGAGCCATTACTGAAGGCCTGAATGATCTTTTTCCTCTCACCATTGCACGATTTTAAATTGTTCTCTTTTTAGCTGAATAACTCAAAAAGTTTTTCAGTGATTCGTACGAAAAAATGGTGTCAAGATGACTAAAAGTCTGAACTGAAAATCGGTAAAATAAACTTAGTTTAGTGTTTTTTTTTTTTTGTTTTTTTTTTAGATATTAAACATTTTGCGGCAGGGATAATTATACTGTTACGCGATTTCGACAAATTTGCTGTTACACACGGTATATATTCCAGTCTATTTCCGTCTATGTTGCAAGAATTTCCAGAAAAATGAACGCCTTGTCTATGATTCTGATTTCGTAAACCCGCCTTTACTATCGTCACAGCCAGTACAATTTTCTTGTCCCAGCTAGTAAAGAGACTTCACAAGAGTTAGGTGTGGCGGAGTGTTATGGTTACGTGATGCGTTCAAGCTGCTCGCTTCTTCAGATATCAACATTTTGACCCCCTTCCCCGTCCCTAATTTTTGACATCCAAAGGAAGGAGGCATTAGTAAAAGTAAAAATATAAAACCGCAACAACAAAACAGTATCAACGATAAAAATCAAAAGAAGCTGAAGTTCCATGAGCGTTGACAGCCAAGAACACCGATTATATCATGCCTCTGATCTTCTGTCACTTTGTGCCTGTATCTTCTCATTCATGTCCTTATCCCTTCCAATGTAATTAAGAATAGCCATTACCTTATGCCTCTAATCTTCTACCTTCTGCCTGTATCTTCTCATTCGTGTCCTTATCCCTTCCAATGTAAATAAGAATAGCCATTATCATATGCCTCTGATGATCTTCTTCCTTCTGCCTGTATCTTCTCATTCATGTCCTTATCCCTTCCAATGTAATTAAGAATAGCCATTACCTTATGCCTCTAATCTTCTACCTTCTGCCTGTATCTTGTATCTTCCTTCATTAATTAAAGAATAGCCATTACCTTATTAATACCTTCTGCCTGTATCTTCTCATTCGTGTCCTTATCCCTTCCAGTACAATTAAGATACTTCATTATCTAATAGACGCCTGCTCAGACTACTGAACGTAATTTTGGTTTATGGTGCAGGATTGCTGAACGGACAACATTGATAATTTTCTGGGCGAGAGTGCATAAAATCTGATGATCTTTTTTTTTTTCTTTTTTTTTTGTAACAAGTTCAGAACGCTCAAAGTTTAAATAACAATGACTTTTGCCTTTGTAAGAGCACCACCACTGCTGGTTATCGAAAGGCGCTATCTACCCAGTTACATTCAGAAAGCGGACATCATCTCATAGTATGTTCGACAGGCACTTTTCGAAGGTGCTACCCCAGCATGAAGAAGACATCTTCCTAATAAATCCATTATGCCAAAAGTCGAACCTGAAGCTCAAAATCAGATCACCAACGTTCTAACTACTTTATCTATCTATCTATCTATATATATATATATATATATATATATATATATATATATATATATATATATATATATATATCGTCAGGCCAGCAATAGTCAGGCCAGCTATATATATATATATATATATATATGATAAAATATAAAGATAAAAAAAAAATTAAGGTATGCTATATTTATGTGCTAAAGTACTCAATATATATATATATATATATATATATATATATATATATATATATATAAAGAAAAAAGGACCATTTTAAATGTTCCATTATAATAATTTATTTAAGCAGAGCCCATTTAAAGGACGCTGGATCATCAGATAACACTTCCCAAAAAGTTTTTCTTTAAATTATTAGCTCTTGATTTACATTGAGCTCTCAGGATTTGATCCTCCTTGAGACTACCTATACGGATTACCAAGTTTTTCAATATATATATATATATATATATATATATATATATATATATATAGTATAGTAAACAAGAAACAGCAGTAAGATATATATTCGAACCTGTATCCTATACGGAATCGTCATTTAGCCTGACGTGCCTTTAACCGATTTGGCCACAGA